CCCTTCAAAAACAAACATAATCCACTGCGTCTTCAGCAGCTCAGATGTCGGGAGTAAATGACAACTGCTATGTTCATTATTACATCCAACAACAGAACACCTAAAACACCTAAAGACATTCTTGTCTATGCCTGCTCCGGCGTCGAAACAATGATGGCGTCAAAAACAGCTCACTCAGGGCGGCTCTAAGGTAAAACACCAGCGTTCGTCAATAGTCTTTTTTTCCATCAATAGTCATGGGAGGGGCCTTGGCCTGTGTGACATACATCAGGCCAGAATCTGTGAATGGCTTGATCTGAGAAAGGCGTTATTATTTTGGGGGATTTTAAAAAAAAAAGCACTGGGTGGATTTTTATCATTATAGGGTGGTTGTGTACACACAATGCCAACAGACATTTATGTTCAAACATCATGTAAAAGGGAATTTTGCATCTGATGGCCACTTTAAGATAAAAAGACAACATCTGTCACACAAACTCAATCAGTTAAAGACTAGGACTCGACTCTGACTTGATAAGGTGGACTCAGGCCCAGCACTTCAGTAGTGTGTAATTTTGAATCTTACCTGAATGAATTAACACTAAATATAAGTTATCAAAGAAACTGACTCTTTTGTTTGGAATCTAGACAGGGTGAGTATGTAGGATTGGTATGGTCAGGATTACAGCAATAAGAGATGCTATGCAACTGGACAGCTAAGTACAGACACTGACAGATGTTAATGCTTTAGTTATGGTAAGTTGAGCAATTTCAGACGAGTGACAAGTTTTAAGCCTGATATGTAAGGATTGAGTAGGCTGTTCTTGTGAGAACCCAATGGAAAATTATATTGTTTAGAGCATGGGTCACCAACCTAGCTCCCAAGAGCTAACATCCTGCAAATTTCAGCTCCAATCAAGCACACAGGAGCAGGGTTGGAGATCCTCGTTTGAGGTTTCTCTTTCAAAGCATGGGAGATATACCTGAGTTGTCTACCTCAGTGGATCCCAATCCTGGTTCTGGAGAACCCTAAACATCACACATTTCTGATGTCTCTCTTATTTGACACACATTTGAGGTCTTGGACAAGTCTTTACTAATGATCTGATGAGTTGAATCAGGTGTGTTTGTTTAAGGAGAAATCTAAGGCCATGTCCATACGTACACAGGTATTTTTATAAACAGAGTTTTTCCTTCTTCCGTTTAAAAAAAAATCTCCGTCCACATGAAAACGCAAACGCATGCTATGAAGCACTGTCAAGAGCATGCCAAACCAACAGGTGGCGATATAATCTCAACCGTAAAGCCATGTTGGCCAATCAGAAGCCTGAAAAGGTTTCCAGTAGGCGGAGATAGCGGTGCATGCTCCGACATCACAAGCCAAAAACTCCGGTTTCGCTGTCTACATGATAACACTGCAACCAGAGTTTTTGGAAATCTTCACCCTGGCAGGAGTTTTCAAAAATGTTTGGTTTCAGTGACCTGGTGCTGTGTTTGCGTGTGGACGAACGGCCTAACTGCGCAGAAATACTGCGGTTTTGAAAATAACCACGTTCGTGTGGACAGGGCCTAAAATGTGCAGTGCTAGAGGTTCTCCAGACCTAGGATTTGGATCCACTGGTCAACTTAATCAAACACATCTGATTGAACTAATCAGCTGGTTAAGTAGAGACTCATCATATAGCGACACTTCAATGACATCAAACATTGACATTATTGACATGACACCATATTTGATATTTGAATGTGATACAAAGTGATCGTAACACTTCCAAACTCTTGGATTAAACTGCTGGATATTGTTACTTTTACACTACTTTTAGGATCATTTTTTTGTGGTTAAAATTTTTGGACCCCATTGACTTTCATTGTATGGACAGCTGAAACATTCTTATAAATATCTTGTTTTGTGTTCTATAGACACCCCAGTGTTTTTACTACACAATGGGTGTCTGCGAGCTTCATTTATGAGATACACGAGACATGTGTAATTCCGGACACTGGACATAATTTAATAAAAGGTGTACTAGAGATTATTTCAGATATGGTGGAAAAGAGATGTTTCTCATCCCAGGCGTCCCTTAAGAGAGTGAGGACAGTACAGAGATAAGACGAGATTAATCAGGCGTTTAGTGTGCTGGAGGATAAAGAGAGATAAAGAGAGAGAGAAGATTTTGAACAGACACTGCGCTCTTAGAGATTTATCCTTAATGTAATTAAGAAATGCTTTTGAAGAAAAACTAGCCAGTCAGCTGATTACATTAGCAAGAGCTAGATGATGAGGCTGCATCGATCTACAGTAACTCACTGTACACCATAACCCTATATTAAAAGTAACCAGAGTGAGGAGGAAAGCACACAGTGAATGGAAAAATGAGAGGCAAGTGAAGAGGCCTATAAAATAAATATTTAAGATGCTGTGTCTTTGTGTATGCAGATGTGTTAACAAATGAATAAACCTGTCATATAAATGTCTGAATATATCACTCCCAGTTTTAAAATATATTTTTCGGCATTTTGCCTAATTAAAAAATTCTAATTATTCTAAAGATTTGACCGTATATATATATATATATAAATATATATATATTACTGGAACGTGTTCTAGATAGATATTTCTTAATCTTTTTGTAGTCATTAGGATAACATATAGTTTCATAATACACAAATGTAGAAACGGAGAGAGAAAGACTCACATGTATCAGATTTGAGCAGACTGCCTGTGCTGCGGAAGTACTGCGGGTTCTCTATGACAGGAATCTTGGTCATGCCAATGATGACGGCATCCGCGTTCATGTCAGAGGACGAGGGTGTGTTAGAGCCATTGGACACATGATGAAGAGGACTGGCAGAGTCATCATCATTACTGATGACTGAGGAAGGACCTGTGTCAAAGACAAAGACTTGCACTCAGAACCACTGTATTTAACCCCTTAACTGTCATCCCCATTTTTGAAAATTCACGAGAAAGTGCACTATCCAAACTTAAATTATTATAATTCATGAACGCTTTTGAATACAGACATATAGGTTGGCCTCTTTTTAAAGAAGACAATTAGCAGATTATTACAGAAGTAAAATCATTTAATCAAATGAAAGTATTAAAAAGTCATAAAAGTTCAAATTTATTTGTAAAGAAAATGTATTTTACAATTTTTCTTATATTTTATATAAAATAAATATTTAAAAAAATTATTAAAAATACAAAGTTGCTATAAAATTAAAGCCATATGTCTATATAAGTTGTGTTCCAAATTTGAAGTTGATATATAAAAAAATGAGGTTCATATGCAATTTTGTTTAGGTGTTATACCAAAAACAGCCACCGGGTGCCACCCAAACTCCATTTACATTTTTTATGCATTTCCGTCACAAATCTATCAATTTCTCTCTCAATATTACATCTATCACAAAATACTTAAAATACAAAATGCACTCTTGTCATAAATGAATCTATTACTTTTCCTACATAATTTGTAACAAAATAAAATGGTAAAATTTCCATTTAGGGGTCTTAGACCTTTCCAATGATATATAGTTTGTCATGATTATATTTGTATTTAAGGACTGAATTGTACTATAGTGAAGTAAACTTAGGCGTCCCGTGACAGTTATGTGTTCCAAATTTGAAGTTGATATATAAAAAAATGAGGTTCATATGCAATTTTGTTTAGGTGTTATACCAAAAACAGCCACCGGGTGCCGCCCAAACTCCATTTACATTTTTTATGTATTTCTGTCACAAATCTATCAATTTCTCTCTCAATATTATGTCTATCACAAAATACTTAAAATACAAAATGCACTCTTGTCATAAATTAATTATTACTTTTCCTACATAATTTGTAACAAAATAAAATGGTAACATTTCTATTTAGGGGTCTTAGACCTTTCCAAAGATATATAGTTTGTCATGATTATATTTGATTTAAGGATTGAATTGTACTATAGTGAAGTAAACTTAGGCGTCCCGTGACAGTTAATGTCACGAATCCGGTCCGTGGTCTTCTGTCTGCTCGCCACCAGAGGTGTCCTTCTGATTACATTGACTCTCACACCACACAAACTGTTGCACGTCACCCTGGACTACATTTCCCATGCTCCATTGCACTGATTGGACTCACCTGCAGCCAATCACACACACACACTTTATAACAACCACTCAAATCCGTCTCTAATCGCCGAGTATTGTCTGCATTTATCACTCTCCTAGTGGTAGCACTTTACGGAGCCAGTATCCTGTCTGAGTTTAGTCTAGTTCCTAGTTCTAGTCCCGTTTTGAACCATCTAGTTTTGCCTGATTGTCTGTTCCTGATAACCTGCCTGTCTTGGATTTCTGTCTCGTCTTGTTGTTTGGATTCTGTTCGCACCTCGCCTGGATTACTATCTGTCTGTGGATTACTCGCCTGCCTCATCCTTTGGATTATGTTTGCCGTTGATCGACCTACGCCTGTTTATTGGATCACTCTTCTGTCTTGCCCTCTAAATACCTGTTTGCCATTGTCCGACCCTTACCTGTTTTGAATATGTTTAAGAATAAATCTTTGCAGATGGATCCGCACGTCTCTCGTCTCAGTCGCCCCGTTACAGTTAAGGGATACTTCTATTAAAATGCAATTTGTATCTGTATCAGCATTTTCGCCCCATCCTATCCCCATGTTTTGCAAGGAAAATGTAATATTCAGTGCCACAATAAACACTCCCTTAGCCATATGTTTAAACAAAATTAAACAGCAACAAAAATATAAATAAAAAATCATAAACAATTTTAATTAAAAACATCAAAGCAAGGTCTCTTAGGGACAGCATGCCGATTTGAAAAGACTGACACTGTTCCAGTTTAAAGTCAAATGATTTGGCCGAATCAGAAAGGAAATGTTCATGCATAAAGGGAAACAGTGGGGGGCTTCCTGTCTGACAGGATATTTGTACAGTGGGGTCCAAACGTCTGAGAACACACTGCAAATGTGGGACTGGACATAAATAGAAAGGTTTAGGATTCTGAACACTCATTTAAAACAAGTAAACTTCATGACATAAAACTAAATTTGACATTTAAAATTCTGTGCTATTTCCTGGTCACTAATCAAATAAGTAAATGTGAGACATTGAAGTCATGTGAACTCTTTTGTACAGATGGTTAGATGCTTTTGATTCCTTTAAAGCACAAGATGCTCTTTGGCTCATTCTCAAATCATGCTGGAGAACACGATCATCAGGATTAGCACAAAGTCCATGGAGCTCAAATGCTGCTGTCGTTAAAGCAAATGGCAACATAACTAATAAACTAATAAATACTACAGACAAGAGCTTCAGAATGACAAAAAGTGTTCAGCCAGCCAGAATCAATCAAAGTTTTAAATCTGTTTTCTGTTGTAATTGGAATAAAACACAGGGAACCAACTAAAAGAAACAAGTAGTGCACATTTAAACATCTTGAAGTGCCAAAGAAACATCAAAAAGGTTCAACAGAATTGCCATCAAGGGTGCAGTTATTCCATTTACATGAAGTACGGAATGTTTAACAACACATCTATCATGAATTATTCCCAGGAAAATATACTTGAGGGGGAAAAAAGCATTTATTATACTTTATATAATAAAGTAAACTACAAAATAAAGTAAACTGTGACATATTATACCCAAAAACTCGTCATAGAGTGGACTACCAGTAAAATTGATAAAAATTAGGGACCAAAAATTATTCTGACACTTTGACCTGACCATGTTTTGCTTAAGTGTTTTTCTTTAACTGCTAATTGCTTGGTAATTGGTTGGTTGACCTAAAGTGGTATTATCTAATTGTGTGCTTAAATTTAACAGCTGACAGCTCTTCAACCGAATTCATTACATACCTTTCTATCAAAGTTATCAGACATTATCAAGATGAATTTGTTCTGACAGTTTAACTCCATGTTCTTGACACATTTATTACCATTTTCTAAACTATAGCGAATAAACTGTGATAATGTGAGACACACTGAAGGTGTCTGAATAATATTTGGTTTGACTGTATATATACAGTTTTAATTTAAATGTTATATAAAAAAAGAAAATTATATATTAACAAAGCACTTTTCTTACTCAATTACCTCAAAGTGCCTGAAAAAACAATGGTTTTGTCTGTTGTGTCTTGCCTTAGGTTCAGTGCTTTAGCCGTCTTTGTACACAAACAGGACATCTACCAATCACAACCCCATTCATAAAATCAGTGCACATGATTGGTTTATAGGAATGCTGTTCCAGGAACAACACAGGATGTTGATTTTGGAACATCTACTTGTACATGTTAAGTTAACCCGAGTTGCTGCATGCTGCAACAAAATCTGATCAAGCTATAATATCTTAACCCTGTGTACCTCAGATGCCACATTTAATCTGAAGCAAATGAAAACAAGGCAGAGGAACAGACATACAGAAGGGTCATACTGTCCTAAAAGAATAGTTCATCAAAAAAAATCAATTATTTCATCATTTATTCACCCTCATGATGATCCTAGTTGACTTTAGTCGTTCTGTAAAACACAAAAGAAGATGTCTCTGGTGTTTTGTGTACATACAATGTAAGTCAATGTTGCCTCATGCATGGACTCTCATTGTATGGGCAAAAATAGTTCTTCAAATTATCTTCCTTTGTATTCTGCAGAAGAATCAGCTTGAATAATTGGATAGATTGAGTCACGTTTTGTATGCATCTCAGACCACCTCCTGAGTTCGATTTCTACTCATGTCGAATGCATCTTGGTTGCCATTTACACTAGTTCTTTGCATGAACGGGTGACTATTTCATAAGCAAAAACACATGACCAAGTATATCCATCCTTAATCCTGATTATACTGAAGCCCTTAAATCAGAGAAAATACTGACTGGTTGATAAAAAATATTGCTGAAGCCACTAATTCCAGCCTAAGACCTCAAATCTGTGATCCAGGAACCTGTCTTACTTGAGTAAATCACATGAACCTTGAAATCATCTTCATTCTTCCCTCTTAGATTGCCAGCTGCACTTCTTCATCAGCAAGTAAAAGATGGAGGTTGTCAGGATGCAGAACATTTGGTTGAAACAGCCAGCGGCTTGTTGAATGATATAGGAGCAGTAGGTGCATTAGCCTCAGTGATATCTGAGAGAATAAAACAGGAAACTGGAGATCGGCCATATTGTGATGACCCTTCTGATGGCGCGCGACAGCTTAAAGCATTTACTAGAAAATCCAAGCGTCTTGTTACTGGCAAAAGTGTGACCAATTTATAGAGGACGTCAACACCGTTTGCTTACAGCCATCATGAGATCATCTGAGCTGGAGAAGATACTGATAGCTGTAGTAATGGAGCAAATGATGGACCCATTGCCAACAAGACAGTTCTGGTTCTTGAATTTGATTGGGTGAGCGGCGTTTCAACAGGGCTTATACAGTCCAATGGCAATGGGACTTTCAATGATTTTGTTTAGTTTTTTTCTATTAAGTAAAAATACACACACTATTGTTCAAAAGTTTGGGTTAGGTAAGATTAGCTTGAATGCTGCATTTATGTAATCAAAATACAGTAAAAACAGTAATACTTTGAAATATTACTACAATTTAAAATAACTGTTTTCTATTTGAATATGTTTTAAAAATGTAATTTATTCCTGTGATCAAAGCTGAATTTTCAGCATCATTACTCCAGTCTTCAGTGTCACATGATCCTTCAGAAATCATTCTAATATGATGAACTAACAGTAAAGTTTATATATATATATATATATATATATATATATACACACACACAGAGCTGGGTAGATTACTTAATCAGTCCATTACTGATTACAGATTACATGATGAAAACTGTAGTCAGTAACATAATCTAGGATACTTATTTTAGGTAATGTATTCTGACTATTTC